GCGACCGGCTTAGGCACGACGGCATCCTCACGGTTGTGGACCGATTGAGTAAGTACGCGCGTTTTCTTCCTTGCAAGTACTACTCCATGACTCCCGAGTTGGCACGCCTCCTGCACACTGGTTGGATTTGTGGCCACGGTGTACCAGAAGACATTGTCAGCGACCGCGACACTCGTTTCATGTCAGCATTTTGGACTGTGCTCATGCAGGAGTCCGGCACGACGATGAAACCAAGTTCATCTCGACATCCACAGACAGACGGGCAGACGGAGCGCGCGCATCAGACTGCTCAGATGATGCTTCGTACGCTCATCCGTCCGCACCAGAAAGATTGGGTTGACCGCCTCCCCGACATCGAGTTCGCCTACAACACTTCGGTGCACCCGGCGATCGGCGTGACTCCATTCGAGTTGCACCACGGTGGACGGAAAGGCCGTATCTTCGCCGACCTTCTCCTCCCTCGACCAGCCGACATTGACGCCGCTTGATCCCCCGCTTCCGTCCGGAAGTACAGGGAACTGCTGACTCAAGCCCGCGCGAACATGCAAAAGGCTCAAGTCCGCATGCAGCAGCAAGCCAACAGGCGTCGCGTACCATGTCCCATCCGCGCCGGTTTGGGTCTCCGCGGAAGAGTTTGCACTGGAACAGGATGTTTCACGCAAACTGCTTCCCAAGTGGTTTGGACCTTGGTTTGTGACAGCAGCCGCGGGCGATGAGCCCGATGGCCCTTCATTTGTGATCCACATTCCAGAGCATTTGACGGTCCATCCAGTCTTCCACGCCTCGAAGCTGGCAACATACACGCCAACCAAGAGTGACGACTTTCCGGGCCGACGATCGCAGGACCCTCCTTCTATGGATGGTCATCAGGAAGTTGACCGCGTCATCACCGATCGCAAGTACGGCAGCAAGTCGCGGCAGTACAAAGTCACATTCAAAGCATGCGATCGCGACGACACTCGGTGGATTTCAGGCGCAGATTTGAAAGCATCCGCACCGCTGATCTACGCGCATTATGAAAAGCGGAGGTTAGCTCAGGAAGCTTCACGACCAGCTCCTCCCACCCGGACTGTGGTCCCTCCCTCAGACAGACAGCTTCGCCCTCGCAGGTAAGCTCGGTCTTTCAAGTAGGGGGGGGTGTGGCATACTGAGTAGCCACACGGGCTCTGCAGGGCCCGTCCCGCACTTTCAGCCTAAAAGCCTAAAACTTAGGGCTTACAGGCCCCGGTCGTTTCAGCCTGGAAGCTGAAAAACGAGGGCCTGCAGGCCCTACTCCGTTTCAGCCTATTTCTGGGTCTTTTAGACCCAAAGTTTTTCCAGCCTGAAACGGAGGGCCATTTTCAGGCCCTCATTGTTTCAACCTGCCCCTAAGACTCAGGCACGTAAACAGGGATGTGGAACAGGCCAGAAATAGCCTGTTCCTCACGAGCTTGAGCAGGAGCTGCAGCTGCAGCCCCTGCCTCCCCTCGGCATTGGCAAGAGCAGCCTCCTGGACTGCTCGCATGAGTCAGGAGGCACACCCGAGTAGTACATAGGACTGTCCTAGGCACTTCACGGGTAGGTAGTAAGACAGTAGTCAGGGTAGTCTTCAGGATAGCGGAGCAGCATTCCGGAGGAGCGCTGCCCAGGGCAGCTTAGCGCTAGTGTAGTCTTCAGCGCTGGGCGCCATAGCTGTAGTCTTCAGCGCTGGGCGCTATAGCAGTAGTGGTAGTAGTGATATGGGAGAGAGGTGACTGGCGGAGGCCAGTAGTACTTACCTGTGGCGCCATCGCTCCAGCTCCATCTTCGAGGTACCTGCATCACAGCGCCACCTTCACAGGTTAKTACTGGACTGAGAGAGAGAGAGAGAGTTCTTCTTCTTCCTCTTCTAAGTCCACCATCTTTTCTTCCCCTCTCGCTGCCTACTTCTCAGTATATGTGGACTACGAGAGAGATATGACCTGAGACTTGATGACATTGGATACAGACTCGACATTTGGGATTCAAACATTTTGACGAGGGACTATTTGGGCTTGTGCCGAAGACTTGGTGTTGACGACATTCCCATCTTCCCCTCCTCTTCGTCTAACCCCCCTCATCTTCGTCTGTGTATGTGTGGGGCTGGCGCAGTCTTCCTGTGTGAAGCGCCAGACCCCTTTCACACNCTGGCGCAGTCTTCCTGTGTGAAGCGCCAGACCCCTTTCACACTCTGGGATGATGATGATGATGTATGTTCTGGGCTGCATTGCAACATTGATTGATCGGATCATTGGTATCTAAGTCTTCCGCTTGCGCCATCTTGTACTTTGCATTGAGAGGTCGGTTCTTGTTCTAGTCTGCACGTTACAGTATGCAACAATTGACTGCACAGGTTGCTGGTGAGAGAATCTTTTCCATCCCAACCCCACTATCATTCCCTCTGTTCCATTCCATAGTGGCTGGCAGCTTTGTGCAACAAACAACTGAGAATGACTGAGAAAGACTCCTGCCAGCATTGATTACTCTGGCTGTGCAGGTTGTTGGAAGCAAGGAAAACCTCTTTGCCCTGTACCAGGCGCCAGATACCCGCTGCTGAGAGACTAGTTCTCCCTCTCCCAAAAAACTTTACCACCTCGTCCCCCATCAGCAATCATTCTGTTCCACTTCGCTGTCGACGATTGTCGTCTGCTTACGCTGCTCCGTACCATTGCATGTCCACCATTGCCAGCTGATGAGGCGGGAAGGGGTCCGGGAAGTCTGTGGGTGGGCGCAGAGGGACCCCTTGGTCCACCTTGGTCCGCTCTTTAAAGCAGATGCAGTAGTCCCTTTTGAAATTATCCCGTTCCTGCCCCTGCGTTTGTCCCCCCTCCCATCGGATGTGTGCGATCCAGCCCCCTTGTTCGCTACCCAGCCAGTCCCTTGAGAATTGGTTTATTGCTTGTTTAATGTCTTTTTTTGGGTGGTACAAGTCTAATTGGCTTTTGACTTTCTGCCACCGGGTGAGGAGTTCTTGATTGATGAACTGTCTGATCATTTCTGTCACCTCCTCCCCTTCTACTCGGACCCCTTCAATGGAGTGTATACAACGTTTTCTCCAAAGTGCCCAGATGATGGTGGTCCCCTGCCTATCTTAAACATATTGTTCTCGAAGTCCCTGTCTGTGAGGGAGGTCCATGCCTCGCAGAGTAGCGCTCTCCAATCCCATGGCCAGGTGGATCCGGTATCCAAAAGGTTCCATATCCTATCCCACCATCGCCATGTTAGCACCGCTCCTGGGCACTGTAGGAAGATGAAAGATAGTTTTTAGAATCTTTCGAGAGGGGAAGGCGGTGTGACAGGATTTGCACCACGGCAGAGCCAAGCCCTTCTGTTCTAGGTATGTGCGGTCCACCAGCCAGTTATTAGTGGGGAGACAGCGATGTTATATCTGCCATTGTAGTGAGGCAAACTTTGCCGGTTTGGATCTCATGGTTGTAAACCATCTGATAGGGCGGAGAGAGTCATTCCCTACATTCAGATAAGCTTGCCAGCGGGCCCGCACTATCTCTCTCAAGTTCACTTTTGGTCGCAACAGCCGGTATGTGTTCTTTACAGTCAAGCTAACCAGCTGTTTATCTGAAGTGGCCGGCATCCTACGTGCAAAGGGAAGCTTTCCAGAGGGGTCTCTGGTTGAAAAGCAACCCATAGATCCTTCTGCCTCATCACCCGTATTTTGTACACCTCTACATTCTTACACCACCGCACCTCCTCGGGGGTGTATTTAGAGAGGACATTGTCCTTCCCCCTATGGAGGAGGCTGACCAAGGATTCCTCGGCCCGTACCTCCACCACGTTGCCCACACTCTTAGTGTCTCCCGGGGTCACTACCCAGTCCCCTTCTACCAATCGCGGTCCCTTACGCAAAGTGCGTACCCAGTCAAGAGGGACCGCAAAAATCAATTCGTCCAGGTTCCGCTCAACATCGTGACAGCACCTCATTGGGACCCTCAATTGCAGTGTCGTTTTCCAGTTTTTGTTCCCTGGGTCCCATATATCCTTGATTCTAACTATACCCTTCCTGACCCAGCTACTCCATGGGGGGTCCGAGTTGCGGTACACCCTCCCATTTCTATCGGTGATGTTCTATTGCCAAAGAGGGGTTGTCGCATCACCTCTTCCCATGTGGTTGGCGGGGTTTTGTGTGGCAATGGCAGCTGACGCCAGGCTTTAAGAATCCGGGGTCAGAAATCATCCCTGGACAGATCTCTTCTTGCTTCATCCCGGCCCGAGTTCTTGATAGTTTGAGAGCGCCGGTATGGACCAGTAGTGGTCCTCCAACCGAATCCATGGGTGCACACCCTGTGGCGCCTGAGGGGCTCGTCTGGCAATTTGTTCCAGGGCAAGGGAGAGCCATGGAAGATCTGGCGTGAACAACATTCTCCTCACCCATTGTATGAGCAGTGTCGTAACCTGGATGTCTGGGTCTAAGATTCCCAACCCCCCTTTGTCTTTAGGCTGGATTACCGACGACCAAGCCACCCGACTAATGACATTCGGGAGTTTGCTGTTACCTCTCCACAACAGGCCGGTTACTTGCCTTTTAAGGGATTTAACTGCTTCTTTGCTGAGTACGGACGCCGCCCGGCCGGGCCGTGGGGCCGGGTGGGCCGCCCGGGCAAACCGAGCGGTTAAAAAAACAGCCCTGAATTTTTTTATTTTTTTTTCGAAGGCGAGGTCCTTCTGTGCTCGCCGAGAGGACCCCGAATCTGCAATAAAATTCTGGTTTGGGGGGGGGGACGGGTTGTCTGAGTGTGAGGGGGGGGGGGGGGGG